GGTGGCCGTGGCCGGGCCGCGGAAGTAGCGGAGGGGCGGTGGGCAGCTGGGCTGCTGGCACGGTCGGGCGCACGTGGCGCGGGTTTGCTGGCATCGCCCGGCGGTCGAGCAGCGGCGAGAATCATTGCTCACCCGTCACGACTCCCTGCCCTTGGTACCAGCCAGTGGCCCATCCCTGCTCAGACAGCGCCAATGAGAAGCAGACGGGAGGGCCAGCGCTCGTCAGTTAGTGTGCGGGATCCTGGGGGTCTCGGGTTCGGGCAGCCCCTCCTGCCTTGTCCCACGGGTCCAGCACGGCCACCTCCTAAAGCAGCCCCCGCGGACGAGCGCAAGGGGACCCTTTGCCCCAGTGGGGTATCGCGCAGAGCCGTGCTGGGAAGGTGGCATCCGCAGAGAGGCCGTTGCCCTGGTTCAAGGTTTTCAGCGGGAAGGACTGGGATACCTCCCCGTAAGCAGTGTGTACGTTAATAAGTCACTTTGTGCGTTTCTGCTGTGATGTGCACTAAATCTGGTATTTCATACAAGCGTGTGAACTGGTGGGTGGTCTTCATACGAGAAACGGTGAAACTCCCTGCAGCAGGTTGTGGGGCTCAGCAGCGTTGCTCCGTGCCGTGCCAGGACAGGCTCTCCGGGGCAGGGACCTGGCTGAGGCCGTCGTGCCCCTGCCCTGTGGTACCCATGGGCCAGGGCAGGCTGCCAGCCCCCAGGTGAGCCCTGAGGTTTGGTCTCCTGCGTGCCCAAAGGCTGAGCCATTCTCACTGTCCCTGCCCGAGGGGCTGGAGCACAGGGCAGAAAGTAGTTTTACATCGATACCGGTGATACCGGTGTGCCTCGGGCTCGCACCAGCTCCATGCACAGGCATCTGATATGAATGTAGTATTCAAAGGCTTTTACTATTTTTTACTATTACTTTTACTGTTGTTGTTGTTGTTTATTAAACGGCTGGTTTGTGCTGACACGGAGCCGTACCCGATTCCCATGGAGCCGTGACTTCAGCTATCCGGTTACACTTGCCTGATGACTAATTACTTAGCCTAAGTTTTTATTGCTTCTTGATTCTCACCCTCCCTGTGAGTAGCTCTGTGGTTTTCTCCTCTGAACACCACCAGCGAGTGGCTTTTCGCTCTATTTTTATGCATTGGTCTGGTTGACCACTTGCCACCCCACTGTGTACAAACTCACAATGGGAAGTCCAACAGCACAGAAATAGCTGCTGCAGAAGGCTTTCATCCTGAACTTCAGTAAGGAGATTGATTGGTTTTGGAGCTTTTTTTGTCTTTAGTCTATTTTATTTTTTAAAAATAAATCATGCAGTTTCTTTCTCTGGTCCAGCTGCCCCTCATCCTCCAACCATGTCCTTTACTTCATCGTACCACAGAAATGATGTGGTTGTTCAGTGGGGGGAGGCAGGAGCAAAGTGTACTTCCATGCTGCTGGGGTGCCTCCTCTGAGCTCCCTCCTCTCCCTGCAGCAAGAGGGAATGTGTCCAGAGCAGCCTCCGGGGAGCAACTGCAATGGAGGGGTTGGAGCTGGGCACTTAGATTACTTTGGATATCAGAAAGCTTGTCTTGGATCTGTTGAAATTTATCGTTTCTGCCAGTCTTGGCTGTGCTGGTGAAAAACAAACTGTAGAGAATATGCCCTCGCTGACTTTTCACCACTGCTTAAATGTTACCTTCTGCTTCTTCCTTTGTCCTTGGTCAGCACTGCTCCTCAGCCCTCCTGAAATATTGGTGCTGATACTGTTGTTCTGCTTTTCCCAACTGTGAGCATCACCAGCTTTCTTTGTGTGCTGCGGTAGCTTCGTTTGTCTCGAGAGCATACTCTCCTGGGAGCGTGCTGTTCATCAACAGCCTCAAAACAGACCTTATTTCAAAGCCATTTTGCTCTTCTTCCAGATCCAAAATGTCCAGGGGACGTGGATCTCCAAAGCGGCGACTGGGACATCAAGACGATTACCAGCTCACTGAAGTTTTATCTCAGGTAGCACTGCAGGTCACACCTGCCCCGAGTGGGCAAAGGAGCTTGGGGCTGAACTGCCAGATGTTAACATCTGGCTGTTGGAAAGGGCAAAGAAGTGACAAAGGCTTTGGGAAAAGAATGGATTTTGTGGGGTTTTTTTTTGAGAAATATGCCGGGGAAAGCTGTTTAAATAATACTGGCTGGGGGGGCAGGTGCCACCGGAACTGGTGATGCTGGAGGGTGAGCAGGTTTGCCCTCGGTCCTTCGAGCTCAGTCGCGAGCGGGTCACGCTGCCCTGCCAGAGCTCAGTTGTCTTTCTGGTTGTTGCAGGAACCTGTCTGAACCCGTCATGACATACAAGCTCCACAAAGAGTTGGTCCTGGCTGCCAGTAAGTCCCAGAGCTGCCGCACCGGTGCTCCCCAGCCCTGCCCTCCCCAGCCCATGTGCATCCAAATCACTTGACCGAGCTCTGCCAGCCCGACACCGGGGTGTCCGGCCGCTTCCCCCTGTAGGAAGAGGAGTGACCCTCTCTTCTGAGTGCTGAATGGTGCACGGGAGGTGGTGGTATTTCTTCCCTTCTTTCCTTTGCTGTTGCAGTGCTCTTCCCTGTAACAGGGTTTCATGCTCTCCGAGGGTCTGGAGAGAAGGGGATGTCAACTAACCTGAAATCTGCACAAGTGTCCCAGAAGAATTGTTTCTCAATGGTGTTAATATAAATCTGTGAGGGAATGGGATGTGCTGTTGCCACGCAGATAGATAGGTGCTCGCTTTAGGTTGTGAAATTTGTCCTGGGATGTTGAATCCAAAGTGTCCACCAGTACATGAGAGGTTTTTCTGCTGCAGCTCTTGGGACTGAGCCACAGCTGATATTAAGGGAGATTATCCAGGTAACACGGGTACAGTGACAGGGATCACCTGTGCTAAACCGGCTGCTCCTCGACTGTCCGGTTGTTCCGGCCGTTTCAAATAAGCCGTAATAATTCTGAGGTGGCTGCAGCCCCAGAGCGTGTGGAGAGGCAGCATGCTGAGATGGAGACCAGAGGGAGTTGGTCATCTCCCTCAGCATGAGAGTACTGGCATTTGGGAATTTGTGGCGCACTCATAAACACTTGGCATTACAGCATCCTTCACACCCCATGCCTCTTCGAAGTCAACGAGGAGGGTGGGGGAGCACCTGCCCCTCCTCAGGTTGGACCTCTGGAATTAATAACACTTGTTCTTTCTTGGAAAGGAAAATTTTCCACTACCTACTGATTGTGCTTGAGCCCAAGATTTCTTAGTTTCAGAACTCGTTAAACCCACGATGGCTGAGTATGTGCAAAACCATAATCCCTTCCCTACCCTCCCTCAGAAACTTGCACCATTAAGCTTCCCAGCTACCAAGATCCCACACTATTCTTTTCACTCAGAGTGTTTGATTGTTTCTTGATTATTTATGCTTCTAAGGGTGACCTCTTTGGGTCAGGGACTCGATTTTTTCCCTGCAGGATGTTTTGCCATGTTGCTCGGTGTTACAGCTGTCTGGGCTGAGCCGGTGCCGGCAGCGAGGCCGTGCGTTCCCCTGGCACGTGAAGGGCAGTACCCGGCCGTGCCCAGCCTGCTTCCCGGCCATGCTCAGAGGCAGAGCACGACCCTGAGCCCCTTTTCAAGCTTCATTTCTCCCTCTTTCCACTTCGTTTTGTCTCTCACAATGATTACCCTGTTGCTGTGTATCTCGCTTTCCTTCTGCTTCCCGTCGCCGGGTTTGGCCCGTCAGCCCTGCGTTGCAGAAGGAACAGCTCCCGCAGATTTTCTTTGGCTTTTTCTTTCTCTTATGTATTTACTTTGAAAGTGGTGGGCACAAACTTTTCTTTTTGTTACTTCTTTCCAGAATCTGAGAACCTGGATTACAGGCTGGGAGCCATTCACGCGCTGGTCTATAAACTACCTGACAAGAACAGAGAGATGTTGGAGCTCCTCATACAACACCTCGTCAAGTAAGCAGACTTTTTTTCTAAAGGCAGAGCGAAGGGAATAGTGAAGTCAGCAGAACAAGCCTTTTTTTGTGGCAAGCTTGCAAAATTGTGTCCACCACAATCGCCCTAGAAATCCATGTTTGGACTGCACAAGTGGTGTGGCTGTTTTGCTGCCTACTTCATTGAGTGATGCTTCTCTTTCTAATTGCCACTTTCATCCCCTTTCTGACAAGCACCAAGCAGGAAATAATTTGAAAATGACCCTCTGACAGCAGAGCTATAAATTGTCACCCCTCACTCCAGTTAACAAGAACGTTAGGTCTGGGGTTTGGGAACGGCTGTGGGACCTGTGCCCATGGGCTGAACGTGAAGCATGCTTTGATTTTATCTCCAACTCTGTGGATTCAATATCCTGAGCCCTCAGAGCAGCACGAGGGCTTGAGCGTCCCAGTCTCTGCCCTCACACAGGCATGTTGGATGCCTGGTAGCACCGAGCAGTGCTGCTTCCACGTGCTTCTGCCAGTGAGCCGCTGAAAAACTCTGTTACTGGATGACAACGGCACCAGCACTGCATTGGGAAATGGGTATTTTTTCTTCCCTCCTTGCCACATGGAATGCGAAGGCTGGGTGTGGAAGCTCTGCTCTCTCCACCCCAGGGAGGAGCAGGGGCACAGAGAGAGGCTCGTGACGAGCCCTGCTGAAGCTCGGAAGCGAGGGAGCAATGTGTGTGCAGGTCAGGAAGGACCAGGGCTTGCAGAAGCAATGGCTTTTGTGTGGCAGGGCTCGATTCGGACCTTTGGAGAAGTCGTTTTGAAGAAGGCAGCAGGGCTGATCGGGGATTGTCACCCCAACACTCAGAGGCGAGTGCCTGGCCCTCGGTGCCGTGCCCTGCGTCGAGGCGAGGAGGGCAATCCTGCCTGCCATCCCATGCCAGCCTTTCAGGCTGACGTTTGTGTGGGTTTTGGAAACCTTTCTGCATAAGTGGCAGAGCTGGGAGCGTGCCGTGCGGTCCGATGACGCTAACGCCGTACTTGGGGTCACTGTGTTTATTCCTTAAAGCATTTACACTTAAATTCTGTTCCCTCTCCCCTTCGTGCTGACAGCCTCTTCAACACCAGGGCTCCGGGGCAAACCCAGAATTCCTTACACGTCAGCATCAGAGCCCCTCTCCTCTGGTCCGCTTCCGGAGACAGGCGGTGCCCACCTCGGTGGTCAGTGCTTGGGTCAGCAATCGGTGCGGCTCCCCGCGCTCGCACGCTGCTCCGAAGGCTGCTGGGCAGGCAGAGCTCTGTTCTGTCGGGAAGAAGATGCTGTGTAGAGATTTGCTGAAAGCCTCCAAAGTGTGCTCCCTGCCTTCAGCCCTCCTCCAGAGAGAGGAAAAATCAAAGCCAAAAGTCAAATCTGGATAAATAGGATATTCCGATTTAAATTATTCCTTTTGTGTATGTGTTGCGCAGATGACTTCCGATTGCAGAGTTAAAAGGTGAGCCAGGAGTGGGAAGGGATCAAATAAAAAGACTGTCAGCATGCTGCTCTCCCAAACAGTTGTCCGGGCCCAACGTGCGTGTCGTAGCTAGAGACGTGTTTTATCTCTGGTAGAGTTGGGAAACAAATTCTGCTGAAACAAAATGAAGAAAATTGAACAACTGATTCTTTCCTTGTCCTTTTTTTATTGTTTGGAGTAAGATCTGTTCAGAAAAAAACAAACCAAAACCTATTCCTGCTTTCCCTCCTCTCCGCAGCGTATGTGAGCACAGCCGAGAGAATCTGATGTCCCCGTCTAACATGGGGGTGATATTTGGACCCACCCTCATGCGAGCACAGGAGGACACTGTGGCAGCGATGATGAACATCAAGTTCCAAAACATCGTAGTTGAGATCCTCATCGAGCACTTCGGGAAGGTACAGGTGGCAGCCCGGGAGCAGCGCCACGCGGCTCCTGGCTGCTCCGTCGCGTTCGTGCCAACTGTTGCTGTGGCAACGATGTAGAGCTCTGGCTCTTTTTTCTGGAGTTTCCTTAGGGGTAGGATGGTTTTTGTATAACACACTGTTCTGAAATGCTTCAGAAGGAAACAAAAAGTGTAGCAGATATGTTCCTCACTGTTGCCTTTAGCTAGTTCCGAAAGAAACCCCAAGTCTAGGGATTTTTGCTTTTCTTTTTAAATAAGAGGAATCTTTATTGAAAAAAACCCTATTCTATGTATTCTGTGCCTGGACATTGCAGGATTTTATGCTTTCTGTTGCTGAAGGACAGAGCCAGACCAGAGCATAACTGGTTCCAACGGGCACAGCCCAAGATAAGACGCTGTACAACTGTTAATACTGGGCAGAGCCCCAGAGCAGACCAGTACTGAAAGGCTGGTGGTTCCGCTGTGTGTCCGATCTGTTCGGACTGGGATGTGGGGACGGCGTGGGCGAGTCTGGGGACGGGAGCTGCTGCCGGGGCTCGGGCTGTCGGAGAAGACCAGCACCAGGGGCCGGTGCCTGCCGTGCTGGGGCCGTGCGAGGGCTCCAGCACCGTTTGCCCTTCCTGGGATCTTTGCTGAAAGCTTTTGTCCGAGAGCGTTGCCCAAGTGCACGGCCTGGATCAGCCTGCTGTGGTGGGCGCTGAGATCCACGTGTGGACAACTGCCCTTTGCCCGGTGGCGTTTTGTCCCCTGATGGAAAGCAGAGTGTTCCACTGTCTGATGTATTAGCACTTCCTCCTCGTGGCGTCTGAAACAATGGCCTCGGGTGTTGGGGGTGGCTGGAGGGTGAGAGCACTCTGTGTTAAAACTTGGGCAGCGTTGGCGTTCAGGTCAGCGTAGCCGGGAGCAGACTGCGTTCCAAGGAGTGAGTTTGGTCCTTCAGCTTTTCGTAATTACAGAGTGTCCAGACCATCTCTTACACCTTAGAGGTGGGCAAAGGTTGGAGCCCTCCTCCGAAGGGTGTTGCTGCGGGGCAGTGGGGTGGCGCTCCCGGCAGACGGGGCAGCGCACCTGCAGAAGCGGAGCTCTCTCCAGGAAAGGAAGAGGAGGCCGAAGCTGAACGAGCAAAGTTCTTACAAGAGTAGTCGTGGAGGCAGAGCGGCCGAACGGGGACCAGACGGGTGCTGTGGGGGTCGGCTGCGGTGCTGCAGGTAGAAACCAGAGAAACGGGATGAGACAGCTCAGACAGGCTTTTGAGTACCCACACAAGCAGCTCATGAAAATGACAGCCACTTCCATTGTGGGTCTCTGCGAACGATTTTAGTAAGTTCCCGCCGCGAAACAGCGAATCATTTGTGTGTTGGGATCCTCAGACAACTTGCTCCGGAGCTGAGCCTCCGTCCCCGCTCCTGTACAGCCCGCGGTGCGGGATGAGGCAACACACGGCTCACGCTGCCGCCTCTAAGAGCAGGAATTAAATCTTTAATTAAGCCAGACATCTCTTTGCTTGCTTTTAATTTCTTCAGTTAAGGTTAAGTTAGTAACATTTATTAGATGGAGCTTGTAAGTTCAGCATCAGCGCTGAAAGTGTCTTCAGCTCACGCATGAGCAAACACTGTAAATGAGTCTGGAGGAAGAGGAGGGATGCAGTTTACCTGGTGCAATATGAAAGCTCTAAGGACAGAGTCACTATTCATGAAGTCTTTGGGGATAATTACTGTTCCCACAGCCTATGTTTCAGTGCCGTGGTTAAATTAAATAAGTTGATTGCTCTGGAAACGCCTTATTCACTGTACAAACCTTCTAAATATGAGGCTCTGTCAATATCTTTGTACCTTCAAGTTGTTTAACTTGGAATTTCATTTCGAAGGCAGAAGCAAAGCAGAGGCTGCACCCACATCATAATAAGAGTAGTTTGTGGTGGGTTTTAGCCTGAGTTTCAGATGTTGAAAAGCATCTCGTGAAAATGGCATTCTGTGGTACCCACATAAGCATCCATAGGGAACTTGACACTGCTTTTTCTTTAAAAAACAGTATTGGACACTTGCCAATATATAGGGATGAGACTGACATTTAAAAAAAATTGCCCTGCTGCAGGTAATCCTTTGCTATTTTACTAATACGTGAGCTGCTGCTTTTAAATCACGGCCTGTTAATGTCACAGCAAATTCCTCTGGATCCAGGCAGGGGGAACGCGCCGGACCTTGTGTTCCGGAGCGGAGAACGCATACGGCCCCGCGGAGGGCAGAGCCCCCGTTGGCACTGAGCAGCCGCAGCCGCGTCACCGCGCCGGGGCAGAAAAGCAGCTGAAACGCCGAGGTTGGGGTTCAGAGCTTGCCTGGGCTTTGCCCCAAACGCCCCAAGAGGGGCCGCGCGGGCGGCCGCGGAGCCCATCCTTCCTCCTCTGTCCTTCCTCCTCCTCTGTCCTTCCTCCTCCCTCCGCGCAGAGCGGGGCGGAGTAAACCAGGAGCAGAGCCCGAGTGCCAGCACGCTGTGTCCACACCGAGCAACAGCCCGGGCAGACGAGGCACAACCCTCACCATGGCACACGCTACCTGGTCTTTGGGACCATGCAGGTTAAAGCGGGGGCGGGTTTTTCTCTCTGATCCCCCATCTCGATTTCTTGGAACTGCTCTTTGGCTGGGAGAAGAAAGAACGAGCTCTTGGTTTAAGTTACAAAAATGATGCACTTAATTGAGTCAGAATGTTTGTTTCTTCATTTAAATTTATTTCTGGGAAAAAATTGTTCTTCTGTAAAGGGTGCACCGCGGGAGCGGTGACCCTGCCCGTCAGTTGGGTCTGGTGCGAGCTCCTGTCTCCGGCCGGCAGCCAGGAAGGACCAGCTCTGCGTTCTCCCGGGACGGGCAGCACAGCTGTGGGGCTCGGCGACTCGTGCCACCCCGTCGGCTGTAACTCACTCTTTAAAGCCTGAGATCAATTCAGTTAATACTTACGGGGAAAAACCACAAGAGCAGCTGGTTCGGTTGGTTTTGGTCCTTCATGTGGCGTTTCAGATCTTCGAGAGGCTGCCCGGGAGCTTGATTCTTTTTCAGCTTTTAAAAGTAACACTGACATAAATGCGAAGCTCAAAATTAAACCCAACCAAATAGGTACCGTAAGACCAGTGAGGACAGGAGATAAAGCTCCCTGGCAGCATTGGTTTTACGCCAGCATTTCATCCGGGATAATTTCCTAGTGCCGCACGCGTCGTTGTGAGCCAGGAGCCAACGGGGTTTTTAGCATTAAATCCACAACGATGTTTGTTGGGTTTGTTGGGTTCGTTCGGGTGCTTTCTGCAGATCGTGTTGCCTCGCTGCTGTGGGGACCTTCGCGTTTCCCAGAAACTGTCAGCTCCAGAGCTTCCTTCTTCTGCTCCAGGGTGGTTTGCTTCTCCACGCTCTGCCTGCATTTGTGATTTCGCTGTTCGTTAGCGCGGCGCGGCAGTGGCTGCGGCAGGGGTGCCGGTGTGCAGCCGGCAGCCCGGCTGCAGGAAAGCCCACGGCAGGACGCGTCTCCAGAGCCA